AGTAAGCAGGTTTAGATCGACTGATTGCCTGTCTTGCTGTGATATTGTGTACAAGAGATAGTGTGTTAGTAATACATCGAATTATCGTGTGATTGACCTAAATTTATTGAGACTGATTGGCTTAACTTTCCACTTGTTCTGCGCAGACCGCGACAATATATATATTTTTTGATGTACAGTAAGAGTAAATACGAAAAGGAAGTTTAATCATTTCATTTAGACAAGTAAAGGTGTCCGATTTTTATGGAGATATTTATCAATTACTTTTATTTTTGTCGCACCCGAATTGTTGACAGACTGTCACCAATTTGGACAGCAAAATTTGGATCGCTATGTCACATGCATACTAATAGAAATAGAAAAAAGTATCGTATTGATAGATCTATGGTTATTTTAATTCGTGATTCGCTAGAAACGGAAAGGATTTATATTTAGGGATTCGGGGAAACTTTCCCAATTATATATTAAAATTAATTTTTTAATTATTAAAAAAGGCATATGTTCTCATTTGAAACTAAAAATTATTTAAATCAGTACCGATTGCTTTTTATGACGTTAATGGAGAGAGTGACTTTTATAAGATAGTTCTTGTGATATTCTTATTCCGGAATGAGATTTTGGTTCTCATATGTAGATTTCTTTCCGTTTATCGCGAATTGAGTACCTTACGCAACTAATTATTCGATGTGCACGTGGTTTAATATTATATATCATGCGAACAATGTATATTTGTTGCATCACTTCAAAAAAAAATAACTATAGGTATATCAAAAACGATACCTTTGCAGGAGATGATTCTCATTCGTTGGAAACTTCCACGTGATAATTATCTCTTTTGTTGAGCAGATCCGTGTGACAGACACGGAAAGCCGGGAGTGACAAAGTGACAAATAAGAATTTTATGGATTGACCAATAAAATACCTCATGCGGTACGACAAAAACAAAATCCATGATATAAATACAGTATTCGAAGAATTTCCGAGTTCAAATGGTTACTCAATAAATTCAATGTTTTTGAGACGAGTTTTTGGATTAGGCTCCAGCAGCTCGGACGGCGAAATTTTCAATGTCACTTTTCATGTACATTTACCAAACTTTGACCGAACGGGTGAACCAGTAGTTATTGGTAGTGATGACAAATTAGGAAATTGGCAGAAACTAAATAAACTTGAACAACCTGATCCTCACAGCCATCCTACTTATTGGAGATCAAATCCTATTAATATTTTTCTGTTACGTGAGAACATGTCAGAAATTAAATATAAATATGGAATATCTTTTAAGGGTCATGTGGATTATGAAGGCGAAGGGGAAAGATTTGAACAAACTCGCACGTTGGACACAACAATAAGCGATCAATATGACATATGGTTAAATAACAAGAAATATTTTATGAATATCGATGATTTTGCATTCGTTGATGTCATATATCAATCAACTGATGCCAGTAATTATAAAGAAAAGATTATGCAGTATCAATCGCTGTTAAAGAATCATGGTCACCACGCTCGGGATGTTGCCAATATTGAATTCATCATCAGTAAAATTTGTCCTTCCCAAGCAAGAGAGAAGCGACTTTTCCTTTGCGTCCTCCTTGGATATCATATAAAGCATCATCATATAATCCAGCTTCCTCAACATTTCCAATCTGTCGATTTACTTGAAACACTAGAAAATGTATCCGATGAGACATTACCGAGTAGCACTTTAGAACTAATGCCGAGAGTATTACAAAGTTTAGTTCAACATAATGCAGCATCTAAGTCTTTCGTGTGGATTGGAATTTTTAAGTCTGCTCGCATCTTAGACCCTCAATTCTCTTTTGTCGATTCATTTATTGGCGTTGAGTATAATAATGAAGAATTAGTCAATTTTTTTAAAATTTGGAATAAAAGTGCTAAAACTTACATGAAATATATTGGAGAAGAAGCATATACAAAAATTGCCAGGGTAAGTATTATTTTAATTTGATGATTTCTTTTTACAATTGCTTTATTATTCATTTTTTTATTGTCATCATAGCACCTGATCAACATTTCTCGCACTATGTCATTACTTACTGCAACATGGAAAGATATTACTGATCGTTCCATAAATGTTAGTAATAGAGTTCGACAATTTTTGATCGAGCGTACTAGAATTAATATTGATAATTCTGATGCAAGTGCATTTACTTTAATTAATGATTATGATAAAATTCCCCCGGATTTTCGAAATGAAGTTTCGGGAATTTTTTGCGACAGAGTTATTTATTTACTAAAACATCCTCGTACTGAGTGGAATATAAATAATAATTTGAACTCAATTGAAATACTTCTATTATCTGAGTCTATGTATTGGACTCCAGACAGCTACCTCAATGCATTGGAGGCCATTTCCCAGTCAAAAGAGATCAAAATCTTAAATATTTTCTTAAAATTATTGAAACATTGGTTCGCCATTAATAATTCTTTACATGATTCTAAGAATCCAAAAATTTTAACAATTTGCAGGGATTGGTTTAATAGTGTTTTAGCTCGTTTAAATGAATCACATAATTCATCTGCTAATGGATTATTTATATTTTCAGTTTTCAATTATTTATCAGAGGCTTATAAAGTGGTCAAAGGTAGAGAAAGAATATACGAAGAATTATCAAGAATTGCCACAACCCGAGTTAGGGAATGTTCAGAACAAAGAATTCTTAAAGCAACAACTCGAGTTGTGAATCTAGACGTAAATGTAGTTCGGGAATTCATTAACATAGCAGCTGATCTATTAAAACATTCTGTTTATAATGCTGATGCTCAACTCTTGGATAAAATTCAATTTATTTGTGGTAATACAAAAACTGATGGACTAAAAATTAATTTTGAGTAAGTATTTCAAGAAGCATTCGCATATAATGAAATTTAAACATTTTAATTTTTATTAAATTTTATCAATTATTTTATTTTATTTATTGTACGTAAAGACAATCTGAACATTTAATATGCAGTATAGTAACTAATCTACAGTCACATTATATTCCACCTTCAACACCTGAACATCATTTGAAACTTCTCAATTCTGGACAATTTTGGGAGGTAATTTTTCGTGCAGAAGGCCATGTCGAAAATTTACATAAACATCCCCATGTTCAACAAATACGTGATGACATTAATCAGCTGGCAGTCTTAATTGCTGAGAAAACTATTGATATCAAATCACTTCTGTTACTTTTAAAACATAATGATATAGAGCTATTCACATATTTGGATTGTCCTAATTCGAAGGCGGTGTTTATCTCAAAACAGGATATTAGTGAGGCCAGAAAACATTGCAAAAATTACGAGTCCACCTTAAATGAACTTAGAATATATTACGAGACCTTCTGTTCAACCTTAAAAGTTTCGGATGCGCACGACTATCTTTCAAAAATAGATACCGAATCTAGGATGTTATCCCGACTTAGACTCAAAGATATTTTAAATCCTGACCATTGGGAATTTCATAGTGAAACAATAGAAATGGCAAGAAAAGTATCCGGATTTGCCAAATCTAAGACATTTGCAAACATTTTTAATTTACTTCTTAGTGAAGTAACAGAAACGTTGACAGTTGAAGATATCACAAAAACGATACTTACTAAAGCGCTGGAAAGATTTGCTCAATTATGTCAGCAATATAAAGATCAAGATTGGGAAAAATTAAAATGTTCCGATGCAGTTTTCCTCTGGAAAGGTGTAACAAATGTAGAATTCGAACTTAGATTAATGGGAAATTATGTTGCTCTCAGCAAAAACCAAAAACAGTATGACCACCTTGTCAGGACTCTTAAACGACTTGTATCCATACCAGATTGGGTTGTTCGTCCTAAACAATTATTCACGATTATCGAAATATTTGATGTTCCACATGAAAAAGACGATTGGTTTACAAAATCTCGATGTACTTTGCAAGATGATATTATAACCCTTGGAAATTTAAGTAACTTTTTTGATTATCTTAATGAAAATCTTACTAAAATTGATAGTGATACTTGCTGGCTTTTGATTAAAGAATTATCCGCTGCTGGCAATTTTTTAGAATTCCTTAAAAGTATTTCTGAACATGATATAAGAAATCTTATTAATGGGTGCGTAGATAATTATTTCCTTGATTATAATTTATTTACAATAAAATTTATTTAGTCTCTGGTATTTTTGTTAAATATAGTGTTGAAGATTTTAATAATGAGCGATTAAACCAAGAGGATACTGTTGCTTCATTAATTCAAGTTCAACAATTGCTACTTCAATTGATGAATAAAGTGAAATCGAGAGATATAAGTATTAAAAAATTTCTTGCCGATTTAGCCACCATCAATGCCGATAACCCTACATTAGTTGGAAAAATTATTTTGAGCTCAAGTTGTAATATGGCTTTACAAAATATTTATAAAAACATTTCAAATCGAGGTGAAGTTACTAAAGAAAGGATTCAAAATGCCGTTAAAGGAGGAACTTATTCATTTGAACGTGTTGGCAAAGATGAAAAGTTTACTGTTAAATTGATATATCCCTCCAAAGAGAGTAATGTAAAGCCTTATTCTCTGTCTGACTTACAATATTTGAGAGGACGTGCGATGCTAATTGCTAAACCTACTTCCGCAGTAAACTTGAGTATGGATGCAAATGAAGAACAAATAATGGATAAATTTGTTGAATTTGTTCGTGAAGTTGATTTGGTTCACGAGATTTATAATGTCGGAGTTAAACTCATACAGATGGGGAATTTCGGCTACCGGAAATACAAGAAATCGGTTTCTGGTGGCAATAAGATGAAAGAATTAACCGAGTTACTTAAATCACTTAAAGAGGATTTGAATCGATGGTAAATTTGTTATAAAAAAAAATTTGTTTTCATGTTTTATAGCTAATATGATTATTTTCATATATTTCAGGGAAAAAATCGTTGATAAAGCACAGGAAATTCATTATTACTTGACATTTTTCCCCGCTCATCATATTTTAACTTTTCTTGACTATTTCACTAATGATGATCCAGCCAATGGAGAGATTTGTAAAACTCTTATTCGATTTGTGAATGAAAAGGCCAGGTTAATGCCAATCAAAAAAGATGTTTTTAAAATTTCACAACAAAATTATTTCGAAATTCTTTGTGAAATTGGTGCCAAGATAAAAAATATATTTAGTGACATTCCAATTCAACTACGTCCAATAAAAACAAAAGGTGTAGTGGTTCCATCTGATATAGTGCATAGAGGAAGGTTATTTGTTGCTGCTTGTAATGATAAGCTATTAATTCCAAATATCATCATGTCAATTTATACAAATCATGGATATTTTCCTGAGCCATGGCAAATTTTGATTTGCAAATCATTCACTACTATGGAGGAACTTTCAATTTTTATCAAACGTTGTTTCCTTGCAGCTGATAATGGATATAAAGATCACCTATTCTGCATTGCAAATTTAGAGATACTTGAGTTCGATTTACAATATAATTTAGTAAATCATATAAGATCTTTACGTGAGAATCATGATGATTATTTATTGGCATTAATTTGTTGTCGTGAGGCAGGACTTCATTATCACATTTTAGATCAATTTTTATCCGAAGTAGTTAATACCTATGGTTTATGTAGTGAAACAATGAAGGCTATTTATTCTGAATTATGTCCAAATGTTTCATGTGTATTCTCGGATCTATCTGGGCAAGGAAAGAGTGAATGGATTAAACAGTCTAGTTTCCTAAAACATAAAATTCCTCGTAGTTTCCTTATTAGTGATGGAATCAATTTTAGTAAACTAGTTCATCAGCTCAAAAAATTTCAATTTCATGAACTTCATGAAGGAGAAAGTTTGCATATTAATATTGTTTCAGCCAATAACAGTAGTGATGTCAATATGTTCTTATTTGAATTGCTTACATTAGGATTTGTATTTAATGATATGGAAATCGTATATCTTCCAAAAACCACAATTTTCATTGAAATTGCTTCTACCGACGAACAAAAATTACTTTATTCACTTCCAATCACAAGTTATTTTGACAAAACTCATATATTCTGGGATATTAATAGTTTAATTGTGTCTAATGAAATTCATAGTCCAATTCAAATTGTATCTTATTATTTGAATGCACTTGATCAAGCTACAATTGACGAAAATAATATTCATTTCTCTGGAGAAGGAGCCATTACTCAACCTTTACCAGCGAAAAGATGTCAAGAACTAGTAGCCAAATATTTCTTCGATGAAAACACGGATAATATTTCATCATTTCGTTTTGTAGAAATTTTTATTAATGTTTTAGCTGATCAATTGGTGAGTACTTTCATTTAATAATCCTTTTAAGACAATCTTTTTTCTGATAAATTTAATCTGTTGGTAGGTGCGTTTTTCATCAAGTTCATACATCCGCGTTGAGAATTTGAAACAAATTGTAAAAGACGAAGATTTAAGAACAACATTATTACGAAAACTAATAGATGTTTCTAAAGACTTTGCAACTCGATCTGTTCAAACTAAAGTAACACAATCAGAATCAATTGGAAATATTGATGCAGATTTTGAAGACATTAAAATTGACATTAAATCATGGGATGACTCAAATCACCTTTTAGTGTGCTTCATGTCTCAAAGTCCAGACTCAATTTGTACTTTATATCGAGACCCCAAGAAAGTTGATGAAAATGTGAAGTCTTTCTTGAGAAGTCACTTTCCCGGTAATCTCAGAGATTGGAAACTTGAAGATTATAATAGTCTGCCCGATAGAGAACTTTTAATTACATTGGAGTGTTTGGCACGTAAGACAACAAAGAAAATTAATTTGCCTTATTATGCACTATCAGCTGATAATTTAGTTAAGATGGCATTAATCTTACTAAGAGCTCGGGCTAACATTCCGGTTGTTGTGATGGGCGAAGCCGGATGTGGAAAGGTAATTATTTATTATATATTTTATATTCTATGGTTAAATAAATATTTTAAAATAATATCTTAAAATTTATAGACAAGTTTAATAAGTTATTTGGCAGGAGTTGTTGAAGTCAAGTTCATAGCATTAAATCTTCATGCAGGAATTTCAGAGGCCCAAATATTAGATTTTATGTCTAAGGTTGAAAATGAAGCTGTAAACGGTGAAATATGGATATTCTTTGATGAAATCAATACATGTGATCATATTGGTCTTCTAGCAGATCTTATTGCTCATCAAATGTTGCTCGGAAATGCAATTCATCCAAATATTCGATTATTCTCTGCCTGTAATCCATATCGAATTCGAACAATCCAAGCTGGATTAAAGGCCAAAGTCAATAGTTATGAAGAACTAAGTAAACTTGTATATCAAGTCAAGCCACTTCCGGGCCAAATTTTGGATTATGTGTGGGACTACGGTATTCTTCAAAAAAATGATGAAAAAAGATATATCCAAATAATGACACACGAAGAACTTAAAGATTGTGAATTGAACCATCCAGTGCTTACAGAACTCTTGTTTGGATCCCAAGAATTTATTCGTTCAATTGAAGAATCATATAGTGTTAGTTTACGTGATGTGAAGAGAGTCATCAAATTGATAAGGTTTTTCAATTATAGTCTAAGTAATCGTCCAAGACGGACAAAAGAAATAATATATCCAGATAATAGTATAGAACTGCGATTTCGGTGTTATATTTTAGCACTTGCTCTTTGTTATGAATCTAGAATTTATGATCGTGAAGAACGTGTGAATTATCGGAAAGATATGATTGAAATTTTTAGGTCAAAGGGCGTTAATTTAGATCATCATAAATTTAGGGAAATAATTAAACAAGAGCAAGACGACATTGTAAAACGAATGAATATGCCCCCAAATACTGCATTAAACGAGGCTCTCTTAGAAAATGTATTAGTAATGATCGTTTGTATTCTGACAAGAATACCAGCATTTATTATTGGTGCACCAGGGTTAGTATTTAAAGCGATAAGAAATATTATCTTTTTTTTTAAAAAAAAAGTTATTAAATTTATTATTATTTTTTTCTTTTTTTAAAAAAAAAATTAAAAGGTCATCCAAATCTTTAGCAATTCGATTAATTAGCCAAAATCTTCGTGGTAAATATTCAAATGATCAATATTTCCAAACCTTGCCACAGGTAAATATATATAATTACGAAAAAACCATTTATCCAATATTTGTTATACTATTATGACTTATTATTTTAATTTGAAAATTTATAGGTTTATCTTATACCACATCAAGGTTCATCATCTTCCACTTCTGATGATATTATTAAAGTTTTTCAAAAAGCGGTTAAATATCAGAACACAAGCACGGATGAATTTCCTTCGATCAGTGTTGTTTTACTAGATCAAGGTATTTTACGATATGCAGCACAACTATTTAATTTCAATTAATTATGATTTTAAATTTATATTTATTATTATTATTTTTTTATTTTTTTTTAGTTGGATTGGCTGAAACTTCTCCACATAATCCTTTGAAAATTCTTCATTCTTTACTTGAACCAAGTTATCCTGCTGATGGTCCGACTGTATCTGTTGTCGGAATTAGTAATCGGAGATTAGATGATAGTAAAAGTAGCAGAGTATTATTAGTTCAAAGGTAAAGGAAAAAAAAAGTAATATTAATTTAAGATTTAAATCTATTTAAAGAATCTAATTTAATTTTTAAAAGAATCTAATTTTTTTTTGAAAAGAATCTAATTTAAATAACTCAATTTATTTAAGGCCTAAGTTTGGAATTGAAGATCTTGTGGAGACCGCAGATCAGTTACTTGAGGGTAATGCACGATCCATGTCTCTTAAACTTCTTGCAGAAGCATATTCAGAATATGAACAATCCGGACAAATTCTTCATCCAAATTTCCACGGTCTTCGTGATTATTATGGTCTTGTAAAAAGCTTATCTATGACAGATATGACACCCGATAATATTCAAATGGCTTTAGCTAGAAATTTTGGTGGTACAGATCAAAATGCAAGATTTTGTGAAGAATACTTTGGTAACGTTTTGCAAAAATTCAACAATTACGGCGAATGGAAATATGAACCAATCTCAACTTCAGAATTAATTAATGCCAATTTAAGAGATAAAAGCGCAAGACATTTAATGGTTATCGGGAAAAGTGATTCTATTGTTAATATTTTAGATTTCCAGTTAAAAAATCAAGGTTTAGAACCTATGGTAATATTAGGTTCTCAATTTCCCGATGACCAACAAGATTATTCTTATAGTGTATTGAGTAGAATTATGGTAAATAATTAATTATTAATAATTTTTTTTTATTTACTTGTATAATTTTGTGTCTTTTAATAATATTTGATCATTCTTTAGATGTGTGTTGAAGCAGGGAGACCTCTTATATTAACAGATTTAGATATTATTTATGGTATTTAATTTGAATTTATAAAATCATTTATGATTACAAGTTATTTTAAATTTTATATTTTTATATTTTTTAAATAGGTGCTCTTTATGATTTATGGGATCAGAATTACATTGTTTATGGGAATAAAGAAAATCCTAGGCACTTTATTAGAGTTTCTCTTGGGACTTATGCTAATCCAATGTTGTAAGTATATAAGTTCATATTTATTTATAATATTATTTCATTATTTTTTAATATTTTAAATTTTTTAATCCTATGATTGTTTTATTAGGTATGTGGTGGATAATAAATTTAGATGTATTTTAGTTCTTGATGAATCTAAACTTGATAAAGCAGATCCACTACTTTTAAATAGATTTGAAAAACAAAGATTGACCTTTGAAGATGCACTCACAAAACATCAATTTGATATTGTAGAGATTTTGGAAGAATGGGTTAGACAAATGGGAACATTGGTCTCGAAGAACGGAATAACATCTCTTAGTGACTTCACATTGAAGGATCTTTTCATTGGCTTTGATCCAGATGAAACTTTACAAAGTCTAGTCATGTACATTATGAAAATGAATCCTGAAAGTCAACATGAAGAAATTCTTAGAAAATGTAAAGAATCTCTTGTTGCTATTGCTTCAGCGGATGGAATTATAAGAGCCACAAAATCAGGTATCGATCTAGAAGAAAGTTTATTTTGGAAGAATGTTTACTTCCCACCACTTAAACATAAGAACCAACATCATGATGATTTATTTTGGAATAATGTTTTCTTCCCATCACAAGAAGGTTGTAATCAATTTCATTATCATTTAGAAGATTATTTCATTGCATTATTTTGTGAGGGTGACTCAAAACCATTATTAGTTATCATAAATACTTTTTCAAACATCAACACAGATGTTAAAGAATGCCTAGAGAAAGTAATGCAAGTTCAAGTATATAAATTATCAACATTCAAAACCGAATCACAACTTCATAATAGAGTTAAACACTTCTGGTTTGAATCTGATGATCAAATGTTGGTTATTCAGTGTGATGTGGCCGCCAAAAATTCGGGATGTATTAAGTTGGCTAAATTTATCATTGAACAATATCGCAATGAATTTCTTCAAATAAAAACCCAAAAAATGAGAGCAAAACATGCATGTATTATTTTACATATTCATAGAGAACAAGAAACACAATTTTTATCTTTTAATTTTATGTGCGGATGGAGACAAGTTACAATTGAAACTTTGGTCCCTCAAGAGAAACATTTGTCAGCACTTTTGGATGGATCTTTGATAAATATAATGGAATCTATTTATCCATTTGAAGAGATATTGAAACAAGAATTATTATGGTGTCTTCTATGTATAAAATATCCTTCTACAGAAAATTCAATTAATCACATTAAGTAAGTACATATTTGATATTATATAGAAATTTCTTGAAAATGTTTATTAAATTTTGATTTTGAATTCTTATAGAATTATCAGTTCCGAGATTTTCAAGCATCCTAACTTTGTTGAATGTCTCAAAGAGAAAACGTTCATCTTGATTAATAAAAAATCATCACCTACAGACTGGCAATATCATGTGGCATCTAATAAACAGTTATTATATCCTTATTCATCTTTTTCTGCCGCCTTACAGGCCTATATTCATTCTTTTGTCAGAAATCCAATTGCAAAAATGTTATATTCTCTTGAAAAATTATCAGCCATCAAGACATTTTTTGATATTGATCAGCCTGAAAATAGAATAGAATCTCTTAAATTATGGAAAGACATGTTTGATGATCCAATAGTAATGGCAACTGATGATCTTGTTGACCCTGACCCTGGCATTTATACATTACCACAAATTTATGATTTGCGTTTCCCATTTTCATATTATTTTATGAAAAGAATTGATGATTTTAAGGAAGAGTATTTAGAAGAAATAGCCAAACTTAAGCAAGATAAAGATAATTGTGATAAATTTGGAGAACTTCAACCATTTGTTGAAGATAAAACCTATCATATATTTAAATCCAACATTTTTTCTTCAATATTGCATCTCCGAGATGCGCTACTGGAAGAATTTTCGGAATTATACTTCAATGATTTTGTTACAGTTGTTTCTAGTATTCTTGGAGAAAAAAAGGATGTCAAATTATTATCCTTAATTTTGCAACAACTTTTGGATGAAGAAAAAATTAATGACCCTGTGTACTTACACGTTTATTGGTGGACAAATTCAAGTACAATATTAGCAGACTTTCAATTAGCTCAGTTATGTCCAACAATTATTAATGACCTTCCAGAAGAGAGAGCTAATAACACCTTTGAAGATTTTCCCATTCAAGAAGTAACAACAATTATGCTTAATAAGTTAAGTGAAATCAATGTTCACCAAATGAATCAATGGCAAAAGCAATCCACAAAATTTATAACTTATGCTGGAAAGCAGATGCAATCTCAAAAATTTTCATCTTTTGAATTATTACGAATATGCAATGAACTTGTTTCAAAATCAATTTCTTTGTCAGATATTAAGAAAATAGCAAAACTTGGTCAAACTTCTGATGGACTTAAAATATTTTCAGAAAAATAAAAATTTGTCATTATTTTTAATTTTGATATTTATTTATTTGGTCACGTTAAAATTTTCATAATATTTAAACTAGTTTAGAAATATTTTTTCTGTAATTGTATAATATAGTGCTTATTGTAATTTATTATTAAAATAAGTAAACTATGTGTAAAATAATGATAATTAACAATAATAATAATAATTACTATTATTATTATGAGCTCCATTTAAAATATTATAAAGTTTAACTGTTAAAGAATATAAATTAAAAAATTAAGTATTACAAATTTATCTTGGTTCTAACCGTTAATAATAAAAAAACAATAACTTTACGCGTTCAATTTGTTAATAATATATTTCATTATACATTTAACATTACGATAATAATAATGTATTGTTAAATAAAGAACTTTAACATTAACAATCATATAAATTTAGTATATTATTCATTTCTTTCTGCTTTTTTCGATTCAATAATTTGCAAAATAAAAATTTCTTTAAAATTTTTTGGCAAGTTATCTCAAAATTTTATTAAACTTCTTAATGATGAAGGTGATTACTTTGTAATCATTTAAGTTGAAAATAAAGAAAAATCTCTGACGGCACATTCTAATGTATTGAAATTTCGATCAGTAATAAGGAGTTAGAAAATATTGATGTTATAATAAAAATTTTATTATTTCTATTGGAATTGTTTGTTTGTTTATAGTATTTTCATCTTATTAATTTATTATTATTTTATATGTAGATATATTTATTGTGGAAACTATTTTTGAATTAATGTTGGCTGCTGTCAATGAACTTGCAGACTTATTAGAACTATTCTTATTGAAGATAAAGCTTCTTGGTTAAAAACTTATTTTACTTTAGTCTACCTATTATTTTTGTCAAAGAAAACTTTGAAAACTTTAAAAAATTTTCGTAATAATATTGTTTTTAAATATCCTAATCTTGTTTCGACATTTTAATTTCAGTTCTCTTCCAAATTCTTCAATAGTATGTCTTCTCTAACGAGACGATTTGCAAATGAAAGAAGTATTTGGGACTACGCTATCAAGTGAGAGAATTGCTCATAATCTTGTTTTCCCTATAAACCCTAAGATTGTACAAATGAAACCTTTTTCACAACAATGCCTACCATATATTCGTTACTTTCATATTATGAAATTTATAATAAAATCAGGCCTTATAAAAAAATTCTTGTTTCTTAAATAAATTAGGAAGATGTCAAGCAACATCTAGTAGCTCCCGACAGACCAATAAAATCAGTTATTTTACCAGCAAGTTCAGTCTTTTTACAGAATTGCCTCATATAATAAAACGTCATAATTAAACAAATAAATACTCAATAATAACATTTAAATTCAATTTTCCTAAATGTTAAAATCATATTTGTGAGTTAAATATTTTTATCCATTTCATAAAATTATTTAAATTCACTATTTCATCATCCGAATCCGCAAATTCTAAATTCTTTTGCAATGTTACCGATTGACAATAATAACTAAGGCCCATGTAGATCTTTTTAAATTCAGCTAACCCCTTAACTTTGGCCAGTTTTAATCTGAGGCAAGCATCGATCTGAGGCACAACATATGAATAAAAATTAAAGTAAACGAATATTGTAATTACCTTCAAATTCTTTATTAAAAATATTATAATTATCTGATTCCTCCTTTTTGATATCAATTATTTCCTGTTATTCATATTATTCACATGGTTTAAATTTGTATTGATCTCGCTTTCGACTACATCCTTGTTAACAATAGTAAATTCATTTTTAATATTTGTATTTTTATTTCATTGTGATTGTTGGTTTGTTAACAGTAGTAAATTAATTTTTAATATTTGGATTGGTCTCGTTTTTAACTTCATTATAAATGTTGGTTTCGTTGACCACTTTCTCCTTATGTTTTCTACCACTTTTGATCCAATATTTTCAACAATCTTTGTTTTTCCCAATGTTTTTCTCAATATGTTGGTTTCTATGTTTAAATTTTCATATTTGTTGTAATATTCGCAACACTGGTATTTAAATTCGTCTTTTCCATGTTAAAACTTTCAACATTAGTCTCTGAATTTTCTACTTTTAATGATTCAATGCTAGTTTCAGCATTTGCAATGCTTTGAGTTTCAATAATATTTATACTGTTGAATTTAAAATATTTGTTGCAGAGCATGATATGTTTTATTTCATAAATTCGATACTCCAAAATTATAATTAAATTAAAATTAATTTCATCCATTATCTTCTCCTTAAAATCAATCGTCAATTTAATAATAAATAATAAATAATTGATAAATGATATTTAAATAAAATGTCAATTTGAATAAAGAGTTATATTCAAAGCGATTGCAGTAATCTAAAATCTATAGGTTTTTCCTTAAATTTATATTTTATAATTTTAATTTAAATTAATTTTCAGTATGTATTTTAAATTTTGAGATTGGCTTGATTCTTGTTGTTTATTCATTTCATTGTATATAGCATCATTTAATAATTCTATTTTCACAAACAGTATATGCATCAGGTCTATTTTCAGGATTAGCATCTCAAGAATGTTTCATTAAAATTGCGAATTAATGTGGAATACATTCATGAATCTTCAGTCACCATTTTTTGACTATGTCAGGAGTTAATTCCAAATCATGTTCATAATCACCAAAGGAAGTTTCACCAGTTACTTCCCACCTAGACTGCATATCTGATTTTGTTGTACAAATTTCACTACAGATAACTTCAGGAGCAATGTATGTGAGATTCCCATAAATACTATTTGATGGTTTGTCAACTGGTCCGCTCAATCTCAAATCACTAATATACCAGTTGTGTATCGTATTCTGGTTACGAATTTATTGCTATACGATAAATAATATCATTTTTTGTAGTAATAATGTAGTTATTTTTTAAAAAATTGTCTTAAATAATATGGTAATATCGTAAAATTAACATATAGTCTTGGATGTTTTGATCTTAGTTAGTCTGTAATATGCAGCAAGAAATGAAGTATTATCAAGTGTGAAACTTAATATCACCTAATAATTTTTTGTTATTATATAATTAATATTTTTGAAATATCAAATAGAATATAATAATACTTAATTCTTGAAACCAAAGTACATTATAATTTTTTGAGTTATTCAATTCAAATCTTTCCTTTATTTGTTCCATTTATCATAGAGACAATCTTTCCAAAAGGCTGTATAAATGGTAGAACATCTTTCTTCTGTCAAATGTTCAACATTCCAAATCAATCCATTAATCCATTCAATTACGGTGTTATAGTTTTTATTGACATTCTTGAATTAATTTATAAATTTCATTATTTCCAGATGTCCAATTTCCAAAATTATTTTCTAAATACAAAATTCACAATATTGGCCACAAATTAGCAAAAACTATTTAGCAATTCCAGTTTTTATTTTATTTAGAAGTGTTCTAACTTTGAACCCATTATTCCAAGCATTTTTAGAAAATCTTGTTTGGCAAATTTAATCATCAAAATGACGTTTCACATAGATAAATAAAGAGCATGATTTATTTACAAATAAAATTAATATTTTTTGTCCTGATTCAACTTTTTAAAAAACATAAAATCTGGAAATCTACTTTGACCAGAATGTCCCTAATTTCTATTTTTAGTTAATTATGAAGATGGAGATATTTTATTTACATGAAATAAAGTAAATTTTTAATAAATTTTTCTTATTTTGTTATTTTATTAAAGAATCAATTTTTTTGTTAATAATAAACTACTTATACTTAATAATTCATATGAATTTAAATTGCTTGTTAGAGAGTAGATATAATATTGTGATAAAGCTTATGACACAGTTATTGTTGCCTTACAAAAGTGGAAGGCACTGAGGTGGTTATTTGTTTTCACTATTATGCATCTTGTTGAGATAGAATTTTCATTGAACCATCATTAATAGGGTGACAGGCTTCGATTCTGCCATTTATAATGATCCAAGCAATTCTTATCTTTAATTTTATAATGCATAAATTTACGTGATAGCTTTTGTGGCACAGCTGCTTGTGAGAATCAATTCATGTCAGCTGAAGAATTTGAAGTATGTATATATCGATATTTTATTATTATTTTATGAAAATAATAAAAATTCATTATTTAAATATCCATTATCTTTTCTATAAATTTGAGACATTTATCAATGTGATTTACGATTTTTTTTTTTTTAGAAAGCAAAAATCAAAGATAAGTAATAAAAACATATTATTAAAAATATAAACCTGAATTCGGGGCCAAAGATCACAGATTAAATTTAAATTAATGTATTCATTTTTTTTAAAGAAAAAATTTTTTAAATACGGTTTTCAAATCTGTGATCGTGGATTAAAATATGTAAGTTTTTTCGTTATTTTTTGATCTCACATAATTAAATTCTGAAATGCAGGTGTCTCGTAAAATATTCTTATATAAAAGTTACCAGCATTTTTTACTTCTTAAAAAATAAATATATTTGTTAAAATATGTTTTTCTTCTTTATAAAATAGATTTGCCATTTTCGATATTATTGGTTTTTTAGTTTATATTATCTAAATAAAGCTTTGATAATATTTAATCCATTCCATTGATCGTGATTAATGTAGAATTAACAAATAATGCAAAATTTATGATTCTTATAAAGGGAATACATTGCCTTTAATGAATTACTGATGATGTATTATTACTCAAACGATGATGCAGACATTTTTTACTATTTATAACCACTAAAATATCAACAACAATAACATATTCAAAATATTAATAATGTTCATAAATAGAAAATTACTCGATTTTTAAATTTACAAATGAATAATTGAATGACAATTTAGATTTAGAAACTAAAATTCATTGTACATCGTTATCACCAGCAAAAAAATTCACTTACCGGATTATATATTATGATATTACCTAAAATTAGCTGATCATAAAAGTACAACTTCACATCATAGTTTCACGACACTTCTCCACTCTCACTTCTCCTTTTTCTCTCTTCTTCTTCTTTAAAAACTTCTT